GGTAGGGGATGTGTAGATCAAGTGTTTACATTGAAGCATATATGTGAACAGTATTTAGATAAAGGTAGGGAAGTTTTTATTGCATTTTGGATTTAGAAAAGGCATATGATAGAGTGGATAGAGGAGCAATGTGGCAGATGTTGCAAGTATATGGAATAGGTGGTAAGTTATTAAATGCTGTAAAGAGTTTTTATGAGGATAGTGAGGCTCAGGTTAGGGTGTGTAGAAGAGAGGGAGACTACTTCCCGGTAAAAGTAGGTCTTAGACAGGGATGTGTAATGTCACCATGGTTGTTTAATATATTTATAGAAGGGGTTGTAAAGGAAGTAAATGCTAGGGTGTTCGGGAGAGGGGTGGGATTAAATTTTGGGGAATCAAATTCAAAATGGGAATTGACACAGTTACTTTTTGCTGATGATACTGTGCTTATGGGAGATTCTAAAGAAAAATTGCAAAGGTTAGTGGATGAGTTTGGGAATGTGTGTAAAGGTAGAAAGTTGAAAGGAACACAGAAAAGAGTAAGGTGACGAGGGTGTCAAATGATTTAGATAAAGAAAAATTGGATATCAAATTGGGGAGGAGGAGTATGGAAGAAGTGAATGTTTTCAGATACTTGGGAGTTGACGTGTCGGCGGCTGGATTTGTGAAGGATGAGGTTAATCATAGAATTGATGAGGGAAAAAAGGTGAGTGGTGCGTTGAGGTATATGTGGAGTCAAAAAACGTTATCTATGGAGGCAAAGAAGGGAATGTATGAAAGTATAGTAGTACCAACACTTTTATATGGGTGTGAAGCTTGGGTGGTAAATGCAGCAGCGAGGAGACGGTTGGAGGCAGTGGAGATGTCCTGTTTAAGGGCAATGTGTGGTGTAAATATTATGCAGAAAATTCGGAGTGTGGAAAATTAGGAGAAGGTGTGGGGGTTAATAAAAGTATTAGTCAGAGGGCAGAAGAGGGGTTGTTGAGGTGGTTTGGTCATTTAGAGAGAATGGATCAAAGTAGAATGACATGGAAAGCATATAAATCTATAGGGTAAGGAAGGCGGGGTAGGGGTCGTCCTCGAAAGGGTTGGAGAGAGGGGGTAAAGGAGGTTTTGTGGGCAAGGGGCTTGGACTTCCAGCAAGCGTGCGTGAGCGTGTTAGATAGGAGTGAATGGAGACGAATGGTACTTGGGACCTGACGATTTGTTGGAGTGTGAGCAGGGTAATATTTAGTGAGGGGATTCAGGGAAACCGGTTATTTTCATATAGTCGGACTTGAGTCCTGGAAGTGGGAAGTACAATGCCTGCACTTTAAAGGAGGGGTTTTCGATATTGGCAGTTTGGAGGGATATGTTGTGTATCTTTATATGTGTATGCTTCTAAACTGTTGTATTCTGAGCACCTCTGCAAAAACAGTGATAATGTGCGAGTGTGGTGAAAGTGTTGAATGATGATGAAAGTATTTTCTTTTTGGGGATTTTCTTTCTTTTTTGGGTCACCCTGCCTCGGGGGGAGACGGCCGACTTGTTGAAAAAAAAAAAAAAAAAAAAATTCAGGGAAACCAGTCATTTTTATATAGCCAGACTTGAGTACTGGAAATGGGAAGTACAATGCCTGCACTTTAACCCTTTCAGGGTAGCCATCCCCTCTCCGAGACTTTGTTCTCAGGGTTGCCTAATTAAAAAAAAAAAAAATTATGAAAAGGTAGAGAATCTTTTCCCGATCATAACGACACCAAAAGTATGAAATTTGATGGAAAACTTACGGAATTATGCTCTCGCAAAGTTAGCGGTCTCGACAATGTTTACACATTGGTGATTTTGCCCACTTTGAGCCCTATTTTCGGCCAATTCCAGTGTACAGTGGACCCCCGGTTTGCGATATTAATCCGTTCCTGAGAGCTCATCGTAAACCAAAATTATCGAAAAGCGAATCAATTTTCCCCATAAGAAATAACGGAAATCAAATTAATCCGTGCAAGACACCCAAAAGTATGAAAAAAATTTTTTTTTTACCACATGAAATATTAAGTTTAATGCACACAAACTGAAGAAGACATGCACAGTTTGTAGTACTCTACTAACAATAGAATACATGACACTTACCTTTAATGAAGATCTGGTGATGATTGATGGGATGGGAGGAGGGGAGAGTGTCGAACTTATTGTTTAGAAGGGGAATCCCCTTCCAAGAGGACTTGAGGTAGCAAGTCCTTTTCCATGGTTACTTCCCTTCTTCTTTTAATGCCACTAGGACCAGCCTGAGAGTCACTGGCAGCCTCACCATGCCTAATCACACTATGTATGCCACTACGATTCTTAAATCTTTCAAACCAACTTTTGCTGGCTTTAAATTCACTCACATCACCACTAGTTGCAGGCAATTTCTTTACCAAATCGTCAGCCTAGCCTTTTCACAAATGATCGCTTGAGAGATGCTATCTCCTGCTATCTGTTTTTCATTTATCCACACCAATAACAGTCTCTCAACATCTTCTAACACATGCAGTCGCTGTTTTGTAATCACAGTTGCACCTTTTGCCTAGCCTTTTCACAAATGATCGCTTGAGAGATGCTATCTCCTGCTATCTGTTTTTCATTTATCCATACCAATAACAGTCTCTCAATATCTTCTAACACTTGCGGTCGCTGATTTGTAATCACAGTTGCACCTTTTCCAACAACAGCTTCCTTGGTTGCCGTTTTCCTGGTTACTATAGTAGAGATGGTTGATTGGGGTTTTGTATACAACCTGGCCAGCTCCGACACACGCACTCCACTTTCGTACTTTGCAATTATCTCTTTCTTCATTTCAATAGTCATTAGCACCCTTTTTCTCGAAGGGTTGGCACTAGAAGCTTTCTTGGGGCTCATGGTGACCTATTTTGCAGAAACAAGCACCAAAAACACTGATAATATGGAATGTACTGAATGTATCCTTAGATGCGAGCACACTGGCTGGCTTGTAAACACTGGCACACTGGCACTGGACAAATCGTATACCGGGTTTTTCAACGGGAACCGAGGCAAAATTTTTGCGTTAAAATGCATCGAATACCGGATTTATCGGATACCGATGGCATCGCGAACCGGGGGTCCACTGTACTAGTTGACAAAAATCATAACTATTTCACTAGAACTTCATTTTTTCTATCGAATAAGTACAAGAAACCACCCATTTAACAATTTCAACTATCCAATAAAGTGGTAAAAATTTAGCAATTTTGCCAATTTCACACAAATTTCAAAAGATGCTAATTTCCGAATAGGGTCCAGAATAAACAAGAAAGATATTCCTGGCACTAAAATAACATTTCCTCTGTTCATCAGTCACATCCCCACGCCCCTCTTACATTGTTTTGCTTTCCACTTTGAATTTCCATTCTCACAAAAAATAGAAGATTTACTGTTACGCAGACTACTGCATTAGTGTAGAAATGGTACAGTGGAACCTCAAAAATCGAACTGCTCCCAACACAACCAACTATGTAAGTGTATTTTTGTAAGTGCTTTTATAAGCGTATTTTTGAGGGTCTGAAATGGACTAATCTAATTTACATTATTCCTGATGGGAATAAATTCATTCGGTAAAGGCACTCGAACAGCCTTCTGGACTGAAGAAAGTTCGATATTTGAGGTTCCACTGTATAAATAATATGAGCGCACTTGTGAAAGAATATTAGACTCACCAGTTGACGTGTATTGGACATGTAGCATGATTTGTTTACTTTTGAACTTTGGTAAAAATTGAACATTTCTGCTACTTTGAGCTCAATTTCAAGGTACTTTTCATTGTAAAACCAGTCAAAAATCATCTCAATTTCTGTAATATGTCTTCCATTCTATAAAATGAGACCAGGAAAACTAGAATACAACAATAAATACCATGTGAAAATACAGTGCAAAGTCGCTGTTTTAATCCAAAAACACGGTCGAAGTTTTTTTTTTTCTCAGTACGCTCTGTGTGCTGCAGGATTTTTTTTATACTGCGCACACTGACCACATAGACCCATTCTTTCATATGTAGGCCTACCAGCTTTCTCTCAGTAGATTTGAGGGCGCTAGAATTTAGGCGTTCTAGTATGTCAAAAACCCTGGTGCGTAAGCCGTACTAGTACGTCCGAAACCCTGAAAGGGTTAAAGGAAGGGTTTGGGATATTGGCATATTGGCAATTTGGAGGGAGATGTTATATATCTTTATATATGCTTCAAAACTCGTGTATCTGGGCACCTCTACAAAAACAGTGATTATGTACTAGTGAAGTGAAAGTGTTGAATGATGAAAGTATTTTCTCTTTGGGAATTTTCTTTCTTTTTGGTCACTCTGCCTCGGTGGGAGACGACCGACTTGTTGGGGGGGGGGAATTCCAGACACAATAGAGAGACGTGCTCATGAAGAATGTAAACAAACTGGGTGGGGTGCGCTGTATTAGAAAGATTGGGACCCATATAGCAAGTTTTGGTCAATCCGAAATTGCCGTATTAGCGGAACACCATAAGGCGAAATGTTGTAAAGCAGGGCCCTACTGTACTCAAGTCAGGCTAACTGGTTTCCCTGACTTTCTTCCTAAATGTTACCCTGCTCACATTCCAACAGCATGTCAAGTCGTAAAAACTACTTGCCTCTACTCACTCCTATCTAACATGCTCACATGCAAAACCTTCTTTACCCCCTTCCTCTAACCTTTCCTAAGATGACCCTCACCCTGCCTTCCCTCCACTACAGATTTACACACCCTCCAAGCCATCCTATTTTTCTCCAGCCTCTCTAAATTTAGAAGAAGATACTCAACTTTAATTTATATTTGTTTCAGCTACTCTGTTTTAAATATATTAAGGATACACCATCTTTTATAATACACTGGCTGTCTCTAACCAGGTATATGGACTCATAAAAGGAAACGCATTCAACACTGCAATAGCTGTCTTGCCACAAGTGCAGACATCATAATTCAAATGGCCCTATGAAATGCAACCTCCCTACCCTTCCTTCAGAGAGCTTGAATTCAAGATACACATACCAATATATAGTTGCTGCATTGGCCCCTCTACGGAGTTCATTCAACTGGGTGCCTGTAGCAGTGTCGAAGATTCTGATCAATGTTCCTTTTTCTGAGGCTGTTGCCAATCTTGTTCCTGGGAGGTTGAGAGCTGAAAACAACGAAAAACTTTCATATATTGATGATCCATTGCCATTATAGTACAACCTTTGCTTACACTTAGCAGTAGGGTCAAAATATATAGTATCTTCTCAAAATATCTTAGGTTCCATCTTTAACACACTTTTGGGAGTCTAAGAATTAGAAAAATGTTTAAAATAAAATTTATGAACAGATTCTATTCAACAGACTAACTATTACACATGTGAAATAATTTGTCCGATGCACTACAAAATTAATATAAGTACAAATCCTGAAGAATTAAAAAAGATATGGAAAACATGCCCACTCATGCAGCACCTGGACCAAATTCATTCATGGAATTTTTCATTTATAAAGAAGCACAAAATACCACTAGAACAAGCACTCGATATCCTTCGAAAGAAGAGTTTAGATATAGGCAAAATCTCAAAAGGCCTAAAGAGTACAGGTACAGCTCCTGTATATACAAGAGGCAGTAGAGCACTAGCCAAAAATTACAGACCAGTAGCCCTAACATTGCACATTACAAAAGTCTCTGGAACGATGATGAGACATCAAACTATAAACTTTATGGAACACCATAAGCTACACAATCTAAACCAGTATGGATTTAGAGCAGGAAGATCTTGTTTGTTACAGCTACTAAACCACTATGACAGAATTATGGAGGTGTTGGAAGAAAACTAAAATGCAGATGCAGTCTAAAAGGATTTCACAAAGACATTCGATAAATGTGATCATGGAGTGATTGCACATAAACTGAGGGCATCAGATATAATGGGGAAAGTAGGAAAATGGATTTTAAATTTTCAGACAAACAGAGCACAAAGAGTAGCAGTAAACTGAGCAAAATTTAGCATTACTCAAATCAAAAGCTTGGTACCCCAAGGCAAGATCCTGGCGCCTTTATAAACTGCTTCTCATCATCATAGTGGACATAGATAAAAAAAAAAAAATACTCGCCTGATACCAAAATAAGCATGAAAATCACTTCAATAAGCACATGAAAAAATTGCGGGAAGATCAATTCCAACTACTTAGATATGGAAAGAATTAAGAATTCAAGAGAGAAAATGTAAAAAGATCACAAAACAGAACAAAAGAAAAATGTGAAAGATCTGGGTGTAATACTGTCAGCTGACATTTCTTACTAATAACACTATGAAGCCAATATTACAAAAGACAGGAAAACAGTGTGGATATTGAGAACTTTCAAAACAAGGGAAATAGTGCTAATGGTGACACTTTTCAAATTACTTGTGCTCTCTTACTTAACAGTCTTGTTCAGTGCTCATAGTTCCTTTCAGAGCAGAAGAGATATCAGAGCTGGAACAGATACAGAGATCGTTTATGGCCCACAAAGAGCCAATAAAGCATTTGAATTACTGGGAATGAGTCAAAGTACTAAATATGAGGGCCTATCATAAAGTTCCTGGTCTGCTGTGGAAAAAACTATAGGTTTACCTAATCACCTAGTTGAAGTTGTCTCCCTCAAAGTACTCTCCTTGGGAGGCTAAACACTGATCCCAGAGCCTCTGACACATCTATAAACATTTCTGGAACTCTTCTTTCCCAGCGCAGTCTGCAATTCTGCTCCATTCTTCTCCAATAATTAAAATGCCACTCCTTGAAGGCACACCAGTTTACACATTGGTTTACATCAAAATGGCAAGATAAAGCTGTTCAACTGTTCAATATTGGTTAGAGTGTTAACAATATAGGACTTAGAAAAGCAGCTAATAGCAGGAGACAAGTTTTTAGCATAACTTTTTTTTAAATCATGGACATATGAATTTATCAACTTAAAATTTAGAAAAATATGTGGATGTTAACAATAGAATGAAAATACAGTGGAACCTCGGTTTTCGTATGCCCTAGTGTGTATGTAAAACTATAGTTATTATCTATAAATGTATTTTTTGTTAATATTTTTGGGTGTCTAAAACAGATTAATTGAATTTAGATTATTTTTTACAGGAAATATTAACAAAAAATATATTTTATAGAGAATAACTATAGTTTTACATACAAACTCGGGTGTACAAAAACTGAGGTTCCACTGAATAAACATTTTTACAAATTACGACCAGTCAGTAGCTTCATTAAATAGTAATTCGTAATTAAGAAATTTAAATTAATATTATATTCATGGAAAGCACTGACCCCACTAAGAATCATTGAGCAGTCATTTAAAACAATGAAAAATACTGCAAAAGTAAATGCTAGGGTGTTGGGGAGAGGAGTGAGATTAAATTATGGGGAATCAAGTACAAAATGGGAGTTGATACAGTTACTTTTTGCCGATGATACTGTGCTTATGGGAGATTCTAAAGAAAAGTTGCAAAGGTTAGTAGACGAGTTTGGGAGGGTGTGTAAAGGTACAACGTTGAAAGTGAACATATATAAAACTAAGGTGATGAGGGTATCAAATGATTAAGATACAGAAAAATTGGATATCACATTGGAGAGAGGGAGTATGGAAGAAGTGAATGTTTTCAGATATTTGGGAATTGACTTGTCAGCAGATGGGTTTATGAAGGATGAGGTTAACCACAGAACTGAAGAAAAAAAAGTGAGTGGTGCATTGAGGCATCTGTGGAGACAAAAAAACATTATCTATGGAGGCAAAGAAGGGAATGTATGAAAGTATAGTGGTACCAACACTCTAATATGGGTGTGAAGCTTGGGTTGTAAATGCTGCAGCAAGGAGGCGGCTGGAGGCAGTAGAGATGTCCTGTCTAAGGCCAAAGTGTGGTGTAAATATTATGCAGAAAATCTGGAGTGTGGAAATTAGGGGGAGGCATGGAGTTACTAAAAGTGTTAGTCAGAGAGCTGACGAGGGGTTGTTGAGGTGGTTTGGTCATTTAGAGAGAATGGATCAAAGTAAAATGAATTGGAGAGCATATAAATCTGTAGAGGAAGGAAGGAGGGGTAGGGGTTGTCCTTGAAAAGGTTGGAGGGAGAGGTAGTTTTGTAGGCGAGGGGCTTGGACTTCCAGCAAGTGTGTGTGAGCGTGTTAGATAGGAGTAAATGGAGACGAATGGTTTCTGGGACTTGATGAGCTGTTGGAGTGTGAGCAGGGTAATATTTAGTGAAGGGATTCAGGGAAACTGGTTACAGGTCCTCCATCACAAATCCGGCATCATTGGGACCTGTAGTGTGCCGGATTACTGAGTTTGCTGGATTACAGAGTGGTTAGGTTAGAATACACTTAATAAAATTAACCAACTTGAATTACACAAAGTTCATTGAACATCGGCAAAAATCGAACATGTCCACTACTTTGAACTCAATTTCAAGGTCCTTTTCATCATGAAAGCAATCAAAATCATATCTATTTCTGTAATAGATCTTCCATTCTATCAAATGAGACCAAAAGGAGATCAAATTGGTTGTCTACCAACCAATTACTAAATTATCTCCACACCTTCATAAAATAATGTGGGATTGGGTTTGTTTTGATAAAGCATCGTTAAGTAATGAGTTTTTCTTCTTTCAACATACCAGCCGTATCCCACCAAGGTGGGGTGGCCCAAAAGAAAAAACAAAAGTTTCTCCTTTCAAATTTAGTAATAATATATACAGGAGAAGGGGTTACTAACCCCTTGCTCCCAGCATTCTAGTTGCCTCTTATGACATACATGGCTTACGGAGGAAGAATCCTGTTCCACTTTCCCATGGAGATAAAAGGAAATAAACAAGAACAAGAACTAGAAAGAAAATAGAAGAAAACTCAGAGGGGTATGTATATACATGTATATGCTTGTACATGTATGTGTAGTATGACCTAAGTGTAAGTAGAAGTAGCAAGATGTACCTGAAATCTTGCATGTTTATGAGACAGAAAAAAGACACCAGCAATCCTACCATCATGTAAAACAATTACAGGCTTCCGTTTTACACTCACTTGGCAGGACGGTAGTACCTCCCGGGGCGGATGCTGTCTACCAACCTACTACATAGTAAGTAATGAGTACAGATGAAAAAAGATATAGTAGAAGGTAGAAAATAACCATGAATCTTACAGAAGATGAATACATAAGAGAAGCATGAACAATACAAGGTACTGAGGAACATCCTAGGTATAAGGAAGTCTCACCTATACAACTAAGAGTTGAGTCATGAGCAAGAATATCCTGTGGAGATTTTTCCGTGTCAGCAAGATCAATGATGAGTACATGACCAGCACGGGGCCCAGGGAAGGCTAGTAGTGAATTGTTACTATTGGGGCATAGCACACACAACCCTGGAAAAATATGACTTCCAATTATAAATCATCATAGCACTTATATGCAATAAAACTGTCCTATTTCGTTTTACAAATTCTGTTTAATAAGTTATTGGTAAACATAAGCATTCTTACATTTTGTAGAATATTTGTTTATTATAGCTTATACCAAATTAAAGATATTCATAAATATTTTTCACAATGCATTATTTAAAAATCCTTTTTTATACTTATTCCAATCTTTGGTGAATCATAACCACACACATGTGACTGGATAAGGATAAGACACTTGTGTCATTTAATTTGGTATTAAGCAATGAATTGACATGCATACCCCAAATGTGCGATGACTGTCATTATCTGTAATTACTTAGTGAATTCACAAGTACAGTACAATAATGATACATGTCCATCTACAGTTTATATATAAACAACTGACTATAACAAGCATACTATGTTTAAGATCATTCCAATAGTAAATGTAAGATAAAGTGATTATTCAATGCTCTCATTTAGGAAGAGAACGGACAAGAAAAAAGCATGCCTCACAATGCTTGTAGTATGGGTATAGAAATACTTGAGGTTTTCCTCGCATGCAGTAAGTTTACCTTTAGGGTTACTTGCTGTGTCAAATACATGAAGCTGCTGAGGGTTAGATGTAAACGTGTAAACCTTGATCATGGTGTCTAAGATGACGACTATACGATCACGCCGTAATCTGACACCACGAACTTCAGAGGCAAACTCTAACTCAATGACGTGCTTCTTTTTCAGATCATCCCAAACCATAACTGAAAAATAAATTAGATAAATTTAACATGAATAAAATTTCAAAATATGTGCAGTGCTTGTAACATAAAAGATAATCTAAAATTCCTGGACTTCCAAGGAGTAACAAGTATTTCAGTGTATGTATGTACCTTTCTCTGAAATACATCTAAAACAGAGCTGTACATTTTTTTTTTTTAACAAGTCGGCCGTCTCCCACCGAGGCAGGGTGACCCAAAAAGAAAGAAAATCCCCAAAAGAAAATACTTTCAACATCATTCAATACTTTCACCTCATTCATACATAATCACTGTTTTTGCTAAGGTGCTCAGAATACAACAGTTTAGAAGCATATACGTATAAAGATACACAACATATCTCTCCAAACTGCCAGTATCCCACACCCCTCCTTTAAAGTGCAAGCATTGGGAAGCTGTACATAAAATACAATTTTAAATGCATTAATGGATGAGGAACAAACTATCTGAAAGTGAGATTCCATGAAAGTTAGTACTTTTTGTGTGTAAATATGTGAATTACAAACTTATTCCACAAAAGCTAACAATGCTTCCAAACTGGCAGGTACTGCTACAGAGACTGCAAGTCACACCATTTAACCCTTTCACTGTCATGACTCCAAAAAATTTTAAATAACCATCAGTGCCCCAATTAAAAAAAGAAATTATCTTCCAAAATGGTAGAAAATATTTTTCTAAAGGTACTGACATCAAAATTACAAAATGTAATGCAAAATTTATGGAATTATGCAGGTGTGAAGTCAGAGGTCAGGAAGTACTTTACACAACTGTGGTTTCACCCACTTTTATGCCAGTTTGCTAGTATGCCTTATGTTTTAGCAAATGAGTACAAGAAACTGTCTATCAGTACTACCTTATAAATCCCCCAGAAGTTTGTAATTTGGCCAATTTTTCACTATTTTCACTAAATTCCATATTAAAAATATAATCCAAAATAAATACTGTATGCCTTCCAGCCACTAAAGCAACCTTTTATTTGTTCATTAGTCACATCCCCAGACCTCTCCTATATAATACTTGCCCTCCATTTGGAATCCATCAACACAAAATAAAAATTGAAGGTTTACCCTATTTTTCAGCTTAATAAAACAACCAAGAATGATTGTTCATGGTTTAGGCCATCCCAGTAATTGAAGCAGACCTAATAAGAACCCATAAAACAGCTTGGGGGGGGGGGGAGGATGGGTAAAGGGCCCCTATTCTTCCTCAAGAAAACTGATAAAAATCAAATATTTCCACCACTTTAGGCATACAGTAGGGCCCCACTTATACAGCAGGTTAAATTCCAAGCTACTGCCGGAAAGCAGACATCGCTGGGAAGTAGAAAGCCATTTTTTTCCATTTATAAATGCATATAGATGTCAGACAAGACGTTGACACTAACATATATTAAGTTAGCAATAGAACTAGGCATTAAAAAACAGTAAAAAGTAAAATACAAACACAGTACACTCATTATTTACCTCAAAATATTTGTAGTCTTAATGTAGGGCAAAAGGTGAGTAGTATTTACTGTAAGAAGTCAGGTGTGGTAGCCCTCCTGGCCACCCCACCCATTAAAGCGCCATAGTGATAAAAATGCATATACATACAGTGGAACCTCTACCTACGAGTTTAATCCATTCCATAACCTTGCTCGCATCTAGATTTGCTCGTTAGCAGAGTCAATTTTCCTCATTTAAATTAATTGAAATGGAATTAATTCGTTCCAGTGGAATTCCAGGCACGAAAAAATACTTCAATAATTTCCCCAATATCAACTCTACCTCTTATTTATCTACCTTAATTCATGTAATGTTGGTAGTAGGTTGGTAGACAGCAACCAACCCAGGGAGGAACTATCGTTTTGCCAAGTGAGTGTAAAACGAAAGCCTGTAATTGTTTTACATGATGGTAGGATTGCTGGTGTCTTTTGTCTGTCTCATAAATATGCAAGATTACAGGTACGTCTTGCTACTTCTACTTACACTTAGGTCACACTAACCATACATGTACACGTTTATTTATACACACTCATCTGAGTTTTCTTTGATTTTATCTTAGTTCTTGATCTAATTACTTTTCCTTTTATATCCAAGGGGAAGTGGAATAACAATCTTTCCTCCATAAGCCATGCGTGTTGTATAAGTCAACTAAAATGCCGGGAACAATGGGCTAGTAACCCCTTTTCCTGTAAAAATTACTAAAAAGAATAAGAAGAAAACTGTCAAAGTGAGAAGTTTGAAAGTGCATGGATGTTGTGCGAATGATAAGAAAGAGATGATTGTGGATGTTATGAATGAGAAGAAGCTGGATATCCTGGCTTTAAGTGAAACAAAGCTGAAGGAGGTGGGTGAGTTTCAGTGGAGAGGAATAAATGGGATTAGGTCAGGGGTTTCTAACAGAGTTAGAGCTAAAGAAGGTGTAGCAATAATGTTGAAGGATAAGCTATGGCAGGAAAAGAGGGACTATAAATGTATTAATTCAAGGATTATGTGGAGTAAAATAAAGGCTGGATGTGAGAAGTGGGTTATAGTAAGCATTTATGCACCTGGGGAAGAGAGAAGTATAGAGGAGAGAGAGAGAGATTTTGGGAAATGTTGAGTAATTATGTGGGGAGTTTTGAACCAAGTGTGAGAGTACTTGTGGTTGGGGATTTTAATGTTAAAGTGGGAAAAAAATGTTGTGGAGGGAGTAGTAGGTAAATTTGGGGTGCCATAGGTAAATGAAAATGGGGAGCCTTTAATAGAGCTATGTGTAGAAAGAGGTTTGGTAATAAGCAATACATATTTTATGAAAAAGAGGATAAATAAATATACAAGGTATGATGTAGCACGTAATGAAAGTAGTTTGTAAGATTATGTATCGGGGGATAAAAGGTTGATGGGTAGGCTCCAGGATGTACACGTTTATAGAGGGGCAACTGATATATCGGATCATTATCTAGCTGTAGCTACAGTTAGAGTAAGAGGTAGATGGGATAAGAGGAAAATGGCAACAACAAGTAAGAGGGAGGTGAAAGTGTATAAACTAAGGGAGGAGGAAGTTCGGGTGAAATATAAGCAACTATTGGCAGAAAGGTGGGCTGGTGCAGGTATGAGTAGTGGAGGGGTTGAAGAGGGTTGGAATAGTTTTAAAAATGCAGTATTAGAATGTGGGGCAGAAGTTTGTGGTTATAGGAGGGTGGGTGCAGGAGGAAAGAGGAGTGATTGGTGGAATGATGAAGTAAAGGGTGTGATAAAAGAGAAAAAGGTAGCTTATGAGAGGTATTTACAAAGCAGAAGTGTTATAAGAAGAGTAGAGTATATGGAGAGTAAAAGAAAGGTGAAGAGAGTGGTGAGAGAGTGCAGAAGGAGAGCAGATGATAGAGTGGGAGAGGTACTGTCAAGGAATTTTTATGAAAATAAGAAAAAAATTTGGAGTTAAACAAGTTAAGAAAGCCTAGGGAACAAATGGATTTATCAGTTAAAAACAGAGAAGGGGAGTTAGTAGATGGGGAGATGGAGGTTTTGGGTAAATGGCGAGAATATTTTGAGGAACTTTTAAATGTCAACGAAGAAAGGGAGGCGGTAATTTCATGCACTGGCCAGGGAGGTATATCATCTTTTAGGAGTGAAGAAGAGCAGGATGTGAGTGTGGGGGAGGTGCGTGAGGCATTACGTAGAATGAAAAGGGGTAAAGCAGCTGGAACTGATGGGATCATGACAGAAATGTTAAAAGCAGGGGGAGACATAGTGTTGGAGTGGTTGGTATTTTTGTTTAATAAATGTATGAAAGAGGAGAAGGTACCTAGGGATTGGCGGAGAGCGTGTATAGTCCATTATATAAAGGGAAGGGGGACAAAAGAGATTGTAAAAATTATAGAGGAATAAGTTTACTGAGTATACCAGGAAAAATGTACGGTAGGGTTATTATTGAAAGAATTAGAGGTAAGACAGAATGTAGAATTGCGGATGCGCAAGGAGGTTTTAGAGTGGGTAGGGGATGTGTAGATCAAGTGTTTACACTGAAGCATATATGTGAGCAGTATTTAGATAAAGGTAGTGAAGTTTTTATTGCATTTATGGATTTAGAAAAGGCATATGATAGAGTGGATAGGGGAGCAATGTGGCAGATGTTGCAAGTGTATGGAATAGGTGGTAAGTTACTAAATGCTGTAAAGAGTTTCTATGAGGATAGTGAGGCTCAAGTTAGGGTGTGTAGAAGAGAGGGAGACTACTTCCCGGTAAAAGTAGGTCTTAGACAGGGATGTGTAATGTCACCATGGTTGTTTAATATATTTATAGATGGGGTTGTAAAAGAAGTAAATGCTAGGGTGTTCGGGAGAGGGGTGGGATTAAATTATGGGGAATTAAATACAAAATGGGAAGTGACACAGTTACTTTTTGCTGATGATACTGTGCTTATGGGAGATTCTAAAGAAAAACTGCAAAGGTTAGTGGACAAATTTGGGAATGTGTGTAAAGGTAGAAAGTTGAAAGTGAACACAGAAAAGAGTAAGGTGATGAGAGTATCAAATGATTTAGATAAAGAAAAATTGGATATCAGATTGGGGAGGAGTAGTATGGAAGAAGTGAATGTTTTCAGATATTTGGGAGTTGATGTGTCAGCGGATGGATTTATGAAGGATGAGGTCAATCATAGAATTGATAAAGGGAAAAAGGTGAGTGGTGCATTGAGGTATATGTGTAGGCAAAAAATGTTATCTATGGAGGCAAAGAAGGGAATGTATAAAAGTATAGTAGTACCAACACTTATATGGGTGTGAAGCTTGGGTTGTAAATGCTGCAGCAAGGAGGCGGTTGGAGGCAGTGGAGATGTCCTGTCTAAGAGCAATGTGTGGTGTAAGTATTATGCAGAAAATTCAGAGTGTGGAAATTAGGAGAAGGTGTGGAGTTAATAAAAGTATTAGTCAGAGGGCTGAAGAGGGTTTGTTGAGGTGGTTTGGTTATTTAGAGAGAATAGCTCAAAGTAGAATGACATGGAGAGCATATAAATCTGTAAGG